AGCAAAGGGTCTGAATATTTAGGACCATGTGATATTTCAGTTTTTTTTTTTTAATAAATCTGCAAAAATGTCAACAATTCTGTGTTTTTCTGTCAATATGGGGTGCTGTGTGTACATTAATGAGGAAAAAAAATTAACTTAAATGATTTTAGCAAATGGCTGCAATATAACAAAGAGTGAAAAATTTAAGGGGGTCTGAATACTTTCCGTACCCACTGTAGCTGGAAGCAGTGTGTGTGCGTGTGTATCAGCGTGTTTATGTGCAAGTTGCGTGGATCAGTCGGAAACGAGTCAAAAGCATTGTTTGTGAAAGTCTTTGGCTGTTTGTCCATTTTGATGTAAGAGCAGTTCTGTAGCGTTAGTTTGTTTGTTTTTATATGTCTCTACGGAGACTTCCCATATACATTTTTGCGTGCTTATGTCATTTTGCATCAATACTGTTTGCAAGAGTTTGCCTCTGGGGACAAATTGGTCTATGATATTTCTCATGTGAATTTGCTCATATATGCTTACACACACACACACACACACACACACATATATATATACAGTATCTCACAGAAGTGAGTACACCCCTCACATTTTTGTAAATATTTTATTATATCTTTTCATGTGACAACACTGAAGAAATGACACTTTGCTACAATGTAAAGTAGTGAGTGTACGGCTTGTATAACAGTGTAAATTTGCTGTCCCCTCAAAATAACTCAACACACAGCCCTTAATGTCTAAACCGCTGGTCACAAAAGTGAGTACACCCCTAAGTGAAAATGTCCAAATTGGGCCCAAAGTGTCAATATTTTGTGTGGCCACCATTATTTTCCAGCACTGCCTTAACCCTCTTGGGCATGGAGTTCACCAGAGCTTCACAGGTTGTCACTGGAGTCCTCTTCCACTCCTCCATAATGACATCACAGAGCTGGTGGATGTTAGAGACCTTGCGCCCCTCCACCTTCGGTTTGAGGATGCCCGTGCTTTGCCAATCCATCACCTTTACCCTCAGCTTCTTTAGCAAGGCAGTGGTCGTCTTGGAGGTGTGTTTGGGGTCGCTATCATGTTGGAATACTGCCCTGCGGCCCAGTCTCCGAAGGGAG